CACTGATCATACCTACTTCGGCGTACTCCCATGGGCCAAATGTCACCCAGGTTCACGCTACCTTTTGAGCCTCCTGAAGTTGACGGCAAGATTCGAGACATCGGCGCAACCGGCGCAAGAGCACATGCCCAAGCAGAACGTGACAAGAGGTTGCTCAGCAAGTGAAGCAGCCAAGAACCACTTTTCACCGGGTTCCTACATGAAACATGGTTCTCAATTATCTGACCTGTGCTGCGCAAAATCTTCATATACTGCTTCCCCTGCCAGAATCCACTTGGCAAGTCCCGAACCCACATAGTCGGTTGACAAAACCATACTTCCCAATCTTTGCAGAAACTCTGCCTCATATGCTTGACACGTCCCGATTCCAGATAAACTCTCCCACCGTCATGGGTGGTTAAGTTAGTTAAGCACTGGCATGCGGCATGATCATGAGAGCCAGCAACAACCAACTACTCGCCTGGAAGTTGCTCCAAACCCTATCAGAACAACGTTGAAGAGGAACACTCGAAGTCCCTGATATCTCCAGGCTTCCTGAATGACCTGACATGCTTCCTTCTGTAAGCCAGGGAGCTGGATTAGCGGCAGGCTCCGCGGCATATCTTCAGCGCAGGACCAGTACATGTCATCGCCTGAATCCAAACTTCATGACTTGTCATGTTATCTGAAAGCGCAAGCGAAAAGGCAAGACAAACCAACCCGGGGCTTTATATGCTCGACCCGAAATGTTGTTATCGTTGTATTTTTCCTGTCATTGTTCTTCCAAGTTGTGGACCACCTTGTCGCTTGCGCTATCCTTGATTTGTTGGTTTCCTCTTATCGCTTTTACAACTAAAACCGCATCTGGGAATCTGCTCGAGATTTGGCGAAAAGCTGAACATCCCCATATATGCTCTATGCTCCCTATAGAAAAGACGTATGACGTATGACCCCCTACGTGAAAGACCCACAATCTTGAGAAACTAAATATCTCCAAATGTCCTGATACATTCCAAAAAGAATTTATGCATGACACCGCTTTCCCTGCAAGGGGCCCTTCTATCATTATACGGAAGCAAAGGCCGCCAGGAGGCTGAACTGAGGCAGCAAGATCTCTTCAGCCGGAAGGTCCAACTCCTGGATGGTGCCAGGTTCCAGGACTCCTAGAACTACAAAGAGTCCTGGGTGTTCACAGCAGGGTGTAATTGTGCAAGCGTTTAGGGTATGCTGTCTTCGGCGGTTTGTTGCCTAAGTTGCCTGGATGCAAAACCTAGGCTCTGGACGATTCAGTAGGATAAACGCAGTGAATTGGGCGTTCACAACACGCGACGGAGAAGATATACTGGAGATGCGCAAGAATGTTCATTTTTCATGCTATGAAGACTCGCTCACTAACGAACTAAACATACTTCGTGTTTCCACCGTAACAACGTCCAGGACTCAGCCTTCAGCCAGCTGTGAATTAGGATCCGCCCGGACCAGTGCCTAACCTAAGGGCATGACCCGTTGTGATGCGTACATGGATCAGCACGAGACAAAATATCGCATAGCTAGTACAGAGCACTGGATCTTTGGCCCACGCCTCTTACTGAAATCTGCTAGGACACCGAACGTTCAATTGACGCAGGCAAGCTTGTACCACTTTATGCAGCAGACAAATATTGAACTAAATAATGTCTCGGTGCCCGGAGATTGTTTTGGAGTCTTCATCGTTGTTGGGGCCCGACAGCTCTTCTAGTCGCGACACACAGTCCGCAGCTTTGATTTGATCGAAGGCAGAGTCAGTGCTGCACTGGCACCATGTCATGTAACAGGTGAAGATCTGCAGAAGTATTCGAACATTGAATAGATGCTTCTGTGCTGCATCACGAGTACTCTAGGCCAACATTCCAGAGTTGAAAGTCTGAACTTGCTCGTCTTCTGGAACCGCTTTTCAAATCTAATTACGCACAACTGCTTTTGCTTCTCAAATGCCCCAGGGCATCTGGCCCACCTCAGCAGCTCGCTTGAGTGCCTCATGGCGCGCTGCAACTGCTTTTTTGAGGGAGCAGCTTAGAGTGTCCCGGGATCTTTCTTGGGCTCCCACAACAGAGCAAGACCCCCAAGCCTGCCACTTCAGGCAACACGCTGATTTCCCTTCCAAGCCAATAGAAACAACGACTGGCATGTAGCTTGAGCTTGAGGGGGACAGCTTCATTGCCGGTGTTAACGCATATCCGAAACTCTCTCAATTAGGAGGGTTCAGGCCCACCGTGTCAAGGTACATGAAAGTGTAGAATGAAGCAGCTAAGGCGACAGAAACTCAGCCAGGCAAGTTGCGTCATTCCCTTCCCAGCGCTCCGCTGCCTGATCTTGCAGCAAAGGAAGCTCATCCCGCTTTGAGTCGCTTGGGGCTTTGAGCTTACATGGCTTACAGTGCAGAGGTCAGGGTTCCATCCATGAAGCTTGAGGCTTAGGAAAGAGATGATACGGATCTCAAAGTGAAGACTACATCGACCCAGCACAGAAAGCGACCGGCACAGAGAGAAGCTTCCACAAATCATGAAGTCCCTCCCCTGAGTCGACTTAGGGGACTATTGAGGTCATAGCCATTCAACGGCTATCCTAGCTCTGGTCGAATTCTAGTTTTG